TTTTATTTATTTATTCATGAGAGACACAAAGAGAGAGGCAGAGACATGAACAGAGGGAGAAGCAGGCTCCCTGTGAGGAGCCTTGTTGCGGGACTCGATCCTAGGACCCCAGGATCACGACCTGAGCCAAAAGCAGACACTCAACCACTGAGCCACCCAGATGCCCCAAGAAATTTTATATCTAGTGAAAGGTGTTTTAGAACAGGACTCCTTTGTTGACTATCTAAGGATCAATATGCATTCAGGAATCCTTTACTGAGAAGTATGAGGAATTCATGTAGTTCAATGACTGCTGTTTTTCACAGTATAGTTATAAGTTCTCACACTGTGCTCAGCAAACAGTAGTCCAGCCCACATCCAGCCTATGATTAATAGAAAGTGAGTTAGAACTATGTGAGAACCTCATGGCTACAATTCACTTTGGAGCACTGCTCGTGGTGGTGTTCAGTGCACCTAGTGGCCTGGATTTGCCGTAGAGTAGAATGCAGAATGAGGAGCCCCCTTGACATCATCCACAGGGCATGTGCTTCCCGAAACACATGCGTACCTCCCCACATGTTGCTGCAATCATTTCCAGGTTAGCAGCCCAGGCCCCTTAAGGAACCAAGAATAGGGCTCTTCCCAGACCCAATCTGCAGGCACCCTGATCACAGTCTTCCAGCCTCTAGATGATGTTTGTTGCTTATTAGCCAAATAAAGGTTCGCTGTTTGTCAGCCACCCAGTCAACAGCATTTTTGCTCTAGCAGCCCCAGCTAAGATGCCATCTGTCCTGCACAACATGGTATCGGCTTATATATTCTTTTGGGTTTTTTTGTTTTTGTTTTTTTAAAGATTTTATTTATTTATTAGTGACACACACAGAGGCAGAGACACAGGCAGAGGGAGAAGCAGGCTCCATGCAGGGAGCCCGACGCGGGACTCGATTCCGGGTCCCCAGGATCACGCCCTAGGCTGAAGGCAGCACTAAACCGCTGAGCCACCAGGGCTGCCCTATTCTTTTGTTTGTCTGCCTCTCCCTCTAGAAAAGAAGCTGCGTGTGGCCAGGACTTTGGCTCAGCTCTCCATCTCAACACATCTTCCCTCTGTGTTGGAGGACAGCTTGTGTTCCAAAGGGCAGCGAGAAGGGGTGTCTGATACCCTCCCAGCCCGGGCCCCTGGGGCGGGCAGAGTTGGAGCCCAGCGCAGGAGCGCACACGGGCGGCACCACCCATGCTCTCCCCATCAGCATCTTAGCAGTGAAGGCCCCGGGTTCTCAAACTTCCGGCTGTCTGGTCAGTGGACTGACAGAGCCCTGCAACTTTTCCCTTCAGCATATGGTGGCAGGGAGTGGCTTTTCTCTTGTCTCCTGACACAGGGACCGTGGTAAGCCTTTCCACCCTTTCCACGGCATTGTCCAACCTGCTTCACAAAGTTCTCCAGAAGAAATTTTTCCTGTTGTGTTCTTGAACAATTGCGTCTGCTTCATTTTCTCCACAGAGCTGGTGTGTATGTGTGATTCCACACACATGCTCCTACACACACACAGTTTCACGGGCCTCCTGCATGTGTGACTGAATCTCCCTCACGCACCAGGGTAGGTGCCTTGGGGGGCACCCTCAGCGCCCAGCCCCTCAGTGCCTGTCAGCAGGCCTGTCACTGCATTGACAGGAAAGTGGGATCCCATTAAAACATTTGCCCAGGGGCGTCTGGGTGGCTCCGTGGTTGAGCATCTGCCTTGGGCCCAGGGTGTGATTCTGGGGTCCTGGGATCCAGTCCCGCATCGGGCTCCCTGCATGGAGCCTGCTTCTCCCTCTGCCTGTGTCTCTGCCTCTCTCTCTGTGCCTCTTATGAATAAATTTTTTAAAAACCTCACATATTCCCAGCTGAAGTATTCAAGAAATTTGCTCAGAGGTGGATTCTTTTATAGCCGAGGAAGGGTCTCCCCCAGCCCCACTCATCCCACCCCCATCTGACTTTAAATGTATCCGTGGAACGCATCCCAGGCCTTTTCCTGCAGCTGTCTTTGTAAGTAATTGCAGGCAGCTTCTCCTGACATGGGGAAGGGGAAAAAGTGGCATGAACAGCTTTGTCGGTGGCTAAGGGCTGTTCTAGTTCGGCTCACAGCAGCTACCACAGCCTCCATCCAAGGCCCTTTGGAAAGCGACAGCGACAACCATGGGTCCCCCTGAGCCACGGGCAAGGTGCGTTAGGTCAGCAGAGGAGCTTTAAATCAAACGAAACTTAATATAGGCACGGCTGCTATTTTGAAAGTTGGGAGAAAATCAGGAAATTTCTAGGCAATTAGAGTATTTCAAATCAAAACATGTTTTCTCCAAAGGAGAGGAAAGAGTACAGGTAGTATTCAACGTCAACAACTCTAACAGCAATTACCCAGAAGCCCCTGAGACGGACCCTGCCAATTCTCGGCTCAGGCCAAGGCTGTGGCTCTGAGTCCCCATGCACCGTTCCTTAAACTTCCATCGCTCTGCAATCAAGCCAAGGACGAGTACAGTTGCCAGAAGAGGCAAACAGTTGAAGGTGGAACTTTGGGACCCCCCACCAAGAAACGTAAGCCATTTTATTTATGCGTCTGGCCTGCTTCGGATAAATGAAAGCTTAATGTTTGTGAGCTGGACTATGCATGTCTGGTACTTTTAGCATTGGTGGGTGGAGGGATTTTCTTTTGTCCTCTTTGGGGAAAAACATAAAGTCCCAGACTTCATCCATAGTTCCAGTTACAGCAGTCGCTGGTCTTTTCAACAATTGCTGGAAAGTCCCCTTGAAAGAGTCATACGTGGAACTGGAACATAGGCAGAAGATCAGAGGCTGAGGTGGGTGCCTGTCCTGTGCCCTGTGGCTTTGATAGACATTTTCAATCCCTCACAGTCTATGTGTCTCTTACACAAACATGTGGAAAATAAATATAATCTGAATGATTTTTCAAGGTAGCTGGAGTCTTTTTCACAGGGAAAGCTGTTCTAAAGAGTATTGCTGTGGGCAGAAATGGAGGGTCTGACAAGTGTCTTCAGCTGCTAGCAGCCTCTCGAAGATGCAAGTTTATTCTGGTGAGCACAAGTGAGGGATGGCATTTCGAAAAAAAGCAGCGTAGCAGCAAAGGCAGATACTGTAGACATGACCGAGAAGTGGCAAAGATTTGGAATATAACACTTTGCTATTGATTGTATCCAATCATTTTCAGTTTTGCACAATTTATGAAAAATAAGGCTGGGCCTGTGGAGAGCAGAACAAGGTCCTTCCCCGTTCTGCCCCAAGCTGCAGAGCTCTGCCTGGGGAGGGGCCCTGCCTCCCGTCCCTGCCCGTGCCCAGGATGTGGCCACCAAGGTCGTGACTGCCCTAGACCGGCCAAATTCAGCGATAATAAGACCGTCTGGGAGGAATGAGAGTCCGCTCTGGGAATCTGTAGTGGATCTGAAGTGGGCTGTTAAGAGGTTTGGGGGTTGCAGGCTCAGCCCGTGCAGGGAACCATCTCTCACAGGCTTTCATTCTTTTCTGTCCTTCACCCCTAGACTCTGGCCTCACTGCAGCGGCTGAAGTGTAGAACTGCCCACACAAAGCCAGGCAAGCAGGTGATATGCCGAGCCCACCCGAGGTGGTCTGCAAGGCGGAAGGCCCCTGCATCCTCACTTCCCAGGCCAACGTCTGGGCCCCCAGATCCCCCTTTACCCAAGGTTCAGTGTGGCCTCAGCCATGTGATTTGTGTATCCCAGGGAACTTCAAGGCAGTGGATGATTTTCTAAATGTGGCTCAGGGTGTCTACAGGGAATGGGCAGGTGTCTCCTTACTCTTTATTTTTAAAGATTTTATTTATGTGTGAGAGAGAGAAGGGAGTGCATGAGCAGAGGGGAGGGGCAGAGGTTGAGGGAGAAGCAGACTCCCCACTGAGCTGGAGCCTGATGCAGGACTGGATCCCAGGACCCTGAGATCATGACCTGAGCGGAAGGCACACGCTTAACTGACTGAGCCACCCAGGTGCCCCTCCTTGCTCTCTATAAAATAATGTGAGGGAGAACTTCTTTCCTTCTACCCTCTTGGGTTCTGTGACTGGCCTAAGAATTTAAGTGACACAAGACAGACTAGCAGGAGAAAAGCATACAAGTACATTTTTACATGTACATGGGAATCTTCAGCAGGAAGATGAAGACCCCAAGAAGCCATTAGGTCCAGAAGCTTACACACGGTTTTACACAAAGATAAGCTGGGGATGGGACCTGACAGAGGGGCTTGGGCTGGGGCAGTAAACCATGGGACAGCCCTTGGGAGAGATCCGGGGTAATTTAATGGAAGGTCGGGTTATCTTAGTAGGTTTGTTTGTACAGATCCATTCCAGCGTGGATGCCCCAGTCTTCAGTGGTAAGAATGTTCTTCTCTTCCCCGAGCAGGGAGGGTACCTTTCTCGGTGGCAGTGCTGGGACCTGCATTATGTAGAAGGGGGAGGTGAGAGAGCTCTCCCTGCATCTGCAGCTCCTCATTGGCCTCCAGTTCAAAAGAATCAGTATGTTAGAGTGGCACCGTTGGGGGGGGGGGGGGGCGTGTTCTGTGCCCCTTCAGTGACGGTCTTGTAATTTCATGCTTGACGATAGAATTTGAACTTTTCACATCTGCGTCTGCAGGGAAGCTGAGATAAACCAAGGGGAGACCACTCATCAGTGGGAGAAGCCCTTCTCCGTACAGTTCTTTCCATCGTGTGATGAATCCAATTCAGTGTGGCCTCTCGGACTCTGCTCCCATAAAGGGGACCGGGGCTTGCACAGCTCATGTTAATCTACAATTCAGATTCTCCTGCGCTCCTGCCATTGAACTGCATTTCCTTGGCCATCAGCTCTTGCGGCAGAGAGTATACATGGCCTGTACCTGCTGACAAAACCTCTGTGCTATTGTCCCGAGTCCCTATGGCAGTGACAGCTTATTAGTGCAAGACAAAACTCCAAAATAAATCACGGTCCAATCATTTACTTTAACAAAAGATTTATTTGAAACAGATTTGTGCAGACATATACCAGTCAACAGGATTGATCAAAGCCACAAATCACTACATTTTTCCAAAACCTCTAAAAATACAAGTAAATGCCCTTCATTTGTATTCACTCCAGGAGGGAACCCAGCTCCGCTATAATGTGCTGCCGTAATTTAACAACCAGAGGACATTAATAGGACGTGAAAATGGTAACACTTCGAGAGAGAGGGAACAAAAAAACCCCACACTCCATAGACGCGCTCACTACTCTGCTGGGAGCCAATTAAACGTGCCCCCACAGCCCCGCTTCCCTCTGCATAACCAGATTAAAACCTCCCTGTCGCAAACAATATTTAAGCAATCTGAGCACAGATGTGACAGCAGACAGGAGGGCACATGGCTTTGCTTGCATGGGAAAGACACCACAAAGATGCTGCATTCAAACAGCAATTCAGTGACCTGCAGGAAGGATGAGGCACCCGGCTGCAGACCTGGGCTGCAGACCTGGCTGCTCCTGGCAGAGCCCTGCGCGCCCCACCCCTGCAGCTGGCCGGGCTGCAGCTGGTAGCGGGGCCCTTCAGTGGGAGGCTCCTGGGAAGCAGCAGGCACACTTCCGAACTCAGCAGTCACTGGCAACGCGGGAGAAGGACGGCGGAGGAATGCACGTGTCAGCACACACACTGATTTCATTAATGAAAAACCCGAAAAGCATCTACTTGTGCAGGGATCTTGTGGGAAGCAGAGAAACCCTATGACAGGGCAGATTTTCTTTTTTCCATGTTTTAATTGGTGTTTACTGATCCACCCGCAGGTGCATGGCTGTCCTTAGGGATGACTGGGTCCAGTGCCATTGGAAGTGAGTTCACAGCCTCATCTCCAGGCTGTCCCCCTCCTTCTGGCCCCTTCTCTGCCATACGGAAGAGCTTGCCTACAAAAGGCTCTTGATAAGCCCTCTCGACCCCTTGGGTTCCTGGGCAGGGTTATTTGGATAGCGCTATTACCTCAACTTTCTTCTTCCTATTTCTGTCATAAATCAAAGCCACCTGACACTTTGTTCCTGACTTTTAAAAGGAACAGGTCTCCTTTCTTTCTTTAGCCAGGTCAGAAGAAATGCCGATGGGCTAATCTTGTGAGCATGTTTTTCTTGGTCTGGAGCCTGAGAGAAAGAGCAGAGTGGATGTCTCTAAGGCAACTAGGGCAAGAGATTGTCATTGAAAACGAGCCAGCCTGGGTGTAAAAGAATCACTCTTTTGTCTCCCCTCAGTCAGGGGAGCAGAGGTGTTTGTCAGAGTTAACAGCTCTGGATTATGCTTGGGGTGGGGTAACAGGGTGAGCTCGCCCTTCTTTTCTGCCCCCTTTTGTTTCACAGCTTCTCAACCCTGTGTTGGCTCCATATAGCCTTTTCTTCCCGTTGAAGAGGGCATGCCGGTTTGCCACACTCAGACCCAACAAGCTAAGAGAGAGCTTTCAACAGACTGCTAGTGGAGGCTTGGCAGTCAATGCAGCTCTTGTAATGTCAAAGGAAATGTGTACTGTGGGACAATGTGGGATGCCGAGACAAAAATAAACAGAGAGTATGACACATTAAGGTAGAGTATTCCATGTCTATTCCTTTTGGGGATACTTATTAATATATTCTGGGGACCTCAAACTCTCACCTCTACAACCCACTAGAAACCTTTGTCACCATCCTCGTTGCCTCTGAGGATGGGAAAGTGGCCAGGATGAGGCTAAATAATCTCCCCCAAGGCTATACTGAGACCAGCAAACTGTCTTGGGCCAATGGAGAACCAGCAACAAAGCCAACTGATGTATGCTTTCCCTTTGAGGAGGGAGCGCTTTCTTTCACTATCCCCATCACTACTAAATTTGCTACTACAAGATTTGGTATGGAGAAAGCATTCAACGAATGTGATAGGGGATGCCATCCTTTACTTTGACCTAATAAACTCCTTTGTTTGCCAGGTTATTATTTCAGGCTCTACTTAACCACAGTTTCCCTGTTCCCATTTTTTATGGACCCCAGGAGATGAAGTCTACATTTCAAATGCTGAGGCTGAATCACTCCTTGAATTACCTTGGGACAATGACTCTTGGTAGTAAGCCAAACGCCAGCTGGAATGTGTGCACTTCCTTCACATGTTCAAGACGAAAGACTACCTTACCCTCTAGCAGAGTTTTGCAAACATCCTATTCAACTTATGGTCTAAAACATAAACCTCTAGAAACGGAAACAGGATAGAAAATTCTCTTTAAAAAATGAGATAAAGGGTCATTGTTATAACAAATGGAGATTACAGACTCTAGCTTTCTTTTAAAAATTCAATTGTTAAGCCTATAATATATATGTCTATATGCATTTTCAGACATTAGTTACTCATACTCACTTTTTTTTTTTTTTTTTTTGCATTTCACTGCTTCTTGACAAGTTATCACTGATTTTCACTGCCAGCTCCCTACAGCAAGACCTGCAGCCTTGTCAAGGAAAAGAAAACATCAACAGAGTTCCCAGCCATGCTCTACCAAAACTCAGGTTCATATTTTAGGATATTACTCCACGAATATTAAAGTAACAGCATCTCCCTTCTCCAAAGCACGGGTTTTGTATGCTCTACCGATCCCCTCCCTAGATGATCACATGTGTGCTGGGAGATGGGTGAACATAACACTGGTCGAGAAGTCCTGAACATTCTGCAGAGACAAAAGGTGGACACATCAGCCGCACCCCCAAATTATGATCACGCCCATTCTGGTTAGCAATGAAGTGCTAATCTGGGCAACCAGGCAGAAATGGTTGGTCCATTCTGTTTCCCTACCCTGCCTTTTTAACGTGCACTTTTCACGGCCACCCTTGCTGGGGTGCCAGGACGTAGGGGAACTCAGAGAGACGCGCATGCGATGGCTGCTCTCTTCCTTCTGCAGACTCAGCCAGAACGGAGCACACATTCAAGAATCGGCAATCTGCGTATGACACCAGGCCGAGGCTGGGCCTCTGTGGATCCTGCTGTTTTAGCCCGACCCAGAGGCCGGCTCTAGAGTGCTGACCAAGTATGACCTGCCAGCCTGCATGTCACTTACCATGTGGCAGAGTGACAAGTCCCATGTGGCGTTTCCACTGAGCTGACAGCTAGAGTACGCAACTTACTCCAGTCCACCCTGCTCCCTGGGGAGGGGCTTGTGTGACACTCTGACCTCAATTTGAAGACAGGACAAATGACACGGCCCCCGAATTGGTCACAGCTAACTGTCATACATCGCACAGATTGACAGCTGCTCCTCCTTGAAGCCCAATTTAGTCATTTACCAGATAGCTTAATCATATACGAGAATTAATAGAAAGGTATCCCATCTAGTGCTTCCTTCTGTGTACATATTTCAGTATTGCAAACACTGTTTAGTCTGGTTCTCAAAAGAATTGGAATATAGACTTCAGTCTCAGAAAATGTGACTGCATTTAACATAAAAAACACATTTAACATAAAAAAAAACAAAATAAAAAACAAAAAGCCCAAAACAAAACATATACATGCTGTAATCTGAAAATCTAAATCAGAAGGTTTTAAATTTAAGAAAGAGCTAAGTGTCAGACAAAGAATGAGTTTTAGTTCCCCTTGCCAGAAGGCTTAGTTCCAAATGAAACCATTTAGTCGGGATGCCTACCACACAGTTGATTCAAATTTTTGTTTCTCCTCTGTATTTAGGACATCATCTCTCTGGGTGTCCAATAAAGACCTAAACCTCTGTGTATTGTAATTCCAGGCACATTTTTTTAGGGGAGGGGGTTGTAATTCCTGCATGACAGTCTCAGCGATTCATTTTGCTGAGTGCTCTAGTATTTAAAAATGGCTTACCACCTCGGGCAGGAAGGAATGGCAATTTTCTAAGCCTCACCTGTTCAATTCATTGTTCTGCTTCCCTGTAAGCCCTCCCTGGATCGTGGTCACTTTATAAGTAAAGGATTAGTTTTCTCAGTCAATGCAAATCATACTTTAAGTCATTACAATGCCAAATAAGATGTGGATGCTCCAAAAAATGAAGGATGAGGAAGCAAAGTGCACTATTGTTTTATTTCCCAATTTAGCACAGCCATCCCCAGAAGAACTGTGCCATTTTAAGTAGTAACAGCTGCCCAGAAGTATTTATGTTAAGCCATCCAAAAATCTGGTTTGGCAACCAAAGCGGAGAGGAGAGAATGTGCCTCCAGGCTGGCCATTTATTAAGGGCTCCAGGTGCTCACATTCATGCCTGAGGGCACACAAGTTCTATCCAAATTTAGAAGGTGGGACTCCACAGTTTGGAAAGTCAGTGACGCAGCACTTCTCCTCCTGTCTTAGACTCGGGACACTTTATTTTCAGAGGTACCCGTATCTACCACTGACGATAAGGAAGGACACCTCATCCATATAGAAACGTTTGGAATTCTTTCCAATTAAAACTGCATGTCAATGTCTTGCCTAGCCTCCTGCACGAATGATCACAACTGCCTGGGCTTCATTTCAGTTTCTACCGAGGAGATGTGGCTAAGGCGTCCTCTGTGTCCTCCTCCCGCGGTCTCCGTGTTCCTTGCCTCTTGCCTTCCCCTTTGACGGTCATCTTCCTCCACCAGCCTCAAGGGCCCCTACTCTCCCACTGGGTTCACTCCTCCTCCTCTCTGACTTTAGAGTCACAGAGGGACAGACGTGTCCCTTCGCTGGGGAGACACACTAAACTAATTCACTGGTTTCCCCACAGTGAAGATCCAAAATGGGCTCTGAATTCCCGAGAAAACAAGTGTGGTCTGACTTAAGCGATGCCCAAGGTCCAGTGGGCTGGAGGTCGGGAAATGCGTACTGAGGGCCTGATCAGAGCAGGAGTGCACTGCCCTGCAGGCTTCCCTGTCCTCGGAAAGAGGCAGGTAAACACTTGGGTCTAGGCGGGATAGCCATGCTTCTTCTCTTTAGTTAGTGGAGGGGAAAGGGCGGTGGCAGAAGCGATTGCTCGCATCCACATGTGAATCTGTGCTAGGACAAGACGTGGAGCACATCTGGGCTGGTTGCCCACCGGCTGCCATGCACGGAGCACAGCGTCTGCCATGCGCAAGGTCTGCGATGAGGGAAGCCCGGACAGCCCCGGAGGCACCCGCGCGCTGGGGATGGGGCCACGGGGTTCGAATAAGCGCTCTCACCCCGATGACAGACATGGCTGTGATTTCACCGCAATCAAGAGACTTATGCCAACTTCAGACAAACAAAACAGGAATCAAAGTGAGACATCAAGCTGCCTGCCGTGAAGCCCATGTGCTGCCTGGCGGACTCCAGCGGTGAGTCGACAACGCAGGAAGCGAGCGTGCCCCTGCTCCGAGTCCGCAAGACGGGCTTCTCACGCAACAGAAAACTCTCTTACCTTTCTCCCAGACCAACTAGTACTGACGTTTAAATATTGGTGAAACGTAACGCTTTTAATTTCACACCTCACAGAGCAGAGCCGATTGCTTCATGATAACATACACAGAAGTTAGGCCAAGCACTGCCGACGAACTGGAAGGGATCGGAATGGCTTCCCCTGCGGAGTCTACTCCAGCTTTGCCAGGGAAGGGGCATCTAACAAACTGGTTGGCTAAGGCCACAGAAATGTGTTTCGTGGTGTTTTGGCTGCTGACACCAGTCTCTTCCGACAGAGATGTGTTAACACTGGGTGCAACAAACTGCATCTCTTTCCTGGGACCCATCAGGACAATTCACGTCTCATTTCTTCCTCGATTTCCTTTTGGTGGTGTCATAAGCACGGACTATCTCTTCCTGAGTAACGGCTCCATGCTCTTCTTGAGAGAAGGCATACCCATCTGCAAGGGGAGCACACACAGGGCTTGGTTAAGAGGACCACCGAGGGAGCGCGCTGCGTTTAGAAAAAATGTTTTTGTGGGCGACAGGCAGCTGACCTTTGCCATGCGCTGGGCTCACCAGCCTCGGGGAGGTGGGGACCGGGACAGACAGACCTGTGGCTCAGAAGGGAAACATGGGCAGAGTGTGGGGTCGGGCAGGACAAGGCCTGACCAGACAGGGCCTGACTGGTTCTGGCTGCTGAAGCCCGATGCTGGGGTGGGAGGGATTCAGGGGGCAGCCTCCCTGCAGCTGAGCTCAGCCCGGGAAGCATAAACAGTGGGTCACTGGTCTGTGTCTGCACTTTCCCAGCACCAATCAAGAGGAGAGGCGACTTGCTCTGCTGCAGAAGTGGCCCAAGCTGCCTGAAGCTACAGGCTGGCTGGGTAATTTATGAAGCCGTAAACATGCCAGGGAACACACACACAACGCTAGTGGTGAAAACTGGCAATGTGCACGTGATGCTTGGAGCATTCCTGCTTTTAAGCTGGACTGATTTGGACTGCTAATAAGAAATTACAGTGGGTTTATTCTTGTGTAAATAAAGAAAAGATCGCAAGATAAAGTCAAGAGGCTACAGGGCCGCAGAAAGACTGGCTCTTACAATCAGTTCCAATAATAATAAGAATAATACTAGCAGCAGCTGCCAACAATTAGTAAAAGCTATGTGTATCAGGCCTGTTCTATGTACTATACACAAACAGCTCATTCATTCCTCCCGATGGCCCTATGAGACAGCTGATGGTATTCTTCCCATTTCACAGATGGGGAAACTGAGGCACTGGGTCACAGACCTAGTGAGTCACAGAACTGAGAGCCAAACCCAGGCAGTGCTTCTGTAGGACCAACATTCTTTCTGCATCTCTAGTTCTAAGAGAGGTTTAGCATTCAAAAGCCCAAGGGTCCTTCCCACCAAAGGAGCATTTATTTACAAGACTCTCTCTCTGTTGGCAAATCTTTCTGGGCCAGGGCTAAGAAAACGTCCTACAGCTGGATTAGACGTTCTGACCAAAAGACCACACAGTAAAATGTCTGAAAAGGACGAATCCCATCCATGTGTATACATGACTTGTCAATGGATGTGTTAGTCCACTGTCACATTCTTTAAAGGAGAACAAGAAATCAGAAATTGTGCCCATGTATCACCTCCTGGATTGCTAATTATTTTACTCGGACACTTGGCTTACAAAGGAAAGTTTCAGAACTACAAAGACATCTAACAGCAATGTATAACACAGCTGTGGTGGGGCTGGAAGAGGAAGAGGCTCCGACAGAGGATGTGCAGGGTGATTCTGTACTCTGCATATGCTCGTAAACCAGAGTGTCTGACCCTGGGCTGGCTTCCCAGCTCTCCTGGCCACCGCCTGAGAAAACCCCATAGCTCAGGAGGGCCACCCCGGGAGGCGAGGGCTTCTCAGCACAGGTACCTGCAAGGCAACTGAAGACACGGGCTAGGTAGCAGGGGTGGGTGGGAGCGTAGGAAGAACTAGGGAAGGATAAGCACAGAAAGGAATCTTCCCTGGAGATCTTCATCTACTGGCTCACCTCCATCTCTACCAGAACCAAATCCACAAACCAAAAGATGGCACCATGTGGCAGCCATGGCGCAGCAGCCCCTGGCCAGGGTGAGCCCCATCTGGCGGAGGCCTATGTCCTGGGGCTGGAATGTGGGGCACAGGCCTATAGAGGGGGGCCCTGGGGGTGCTGGGTGCAGGGCCCTTGAACGTCCTTTGATGGCTTTCTGACACCACGAGGCTTCAGAGGCTTCGAGGGATCCGAAGAGGAAATGCCTCTTCTCTCCTTTGTTTCTCTGACAGCTTTTAGATTTCCCTGTGCCTGATCAGGGAAGCCCAGGGAGAGGGGGAGACGAGCAGACGTCCTGTGTCTGCCTTCTGAGGTGGGTGCCCCTCTAGCACAAAGTGTTTTTTTTACTGCAGTCCTAGGCCAGATGCCTTTCCCTGGCATGTCTCAAAGCACAATCTAGCAAACAACACTGGCTCCTCCAGTCGCAGGCTGTGCTCTGTGGTCACTGAGGATAGTTTTTATTCTGCACTCTTCTAAAGGGAACATTTCCAGTAAACACCTGATGTTTTCCTGTGGGGGCCACGGGGCAGTCCGTGGCCCGCCGTGCCACCCCGGGTGGACACTCCTCAGCCCGGCAGAAGTGGCTCTGGCCCAGTGGGGGCACCCTCCAAGCGCTCTTCATGAGCCTTTCTGGTGGCAGGCCCATGACTATTGAGCTCTCCACCCTGCAGGCGGCTTTCTCCATCTGCTCTGCTTTCATCTTGGATCCTGGCACCCAGGGCCTGAGGCAAGAAAGGTGGTTCTAATCCTTGCTTGGCAGTAACTTGGCCATGGGACCATGGATTTTTTAATTTCTCTGAGTGTCCTTAGTTCACTGTTCTGTAATATAAAGGGCCTGGACCAGGTGAGGTCGAAGTTCCCTCAGAGCTCCAACCCCCTAAATGGGTGCCCAGCTTTTCCAAGGCTAACTATACCCAGGTCACAGAACCCTCTCCTTCATTCAGGGCCAATTCACACTCAGCACCAAGGGAGGAAGCCTCTACCTTCATACCAGTGAAGAAGGGAAATTGGTGCAACAACCCATCTAAACAGAACAACTGCTACCTGTCTTTTTTGGTGGGTTTTTTGGAGGGAGGGTCCTGGTGGAGAGGAAGAAATGCAGGGGACTTGTTGAGACACACAAAAAAACACGTTTGGGAGTGTCCTTTGGGGAAAGGTATCTTAGCATTTGGAACAGTCTACTCCTTGTTCAAGCAGAAGGAGCAAAAGTCGTTTTCATTCACATCCTGCCTCTGCCTACTGTGACAGAATAGAGCATGTAGCTGTAAGGCTTCTGTGGCTTGTATTTGTCTCACTGGTACAAGGGCCTTCTGGTGGGATTCCTCAGCCACTCCAGACTGGGAAGGGCTTGCAGGTGTCCATCTGAGAGGACCTTCCCAATAGCAGTTTCTTCTCCTGGGATAAGCTGAACACCCCGAAGTTACTACCAAAAGGCTTGTGCCAGCAGTTCCCATTGGTTGCATCTACCATCATGTTTCCAGAATGTTATGCACTAAGACTTTCTTCACTAGACTTTCTTAGCCACAGCAGAGACTTAAAGTGAACTCTGCAACTCAAGAAGAAAAGGAGGATAGCTTGGTAGGGTTATCCTAGGGCAGGGGTATCTCACTGGTTCAGATACAGTATTTTCCTTTCAGAAAGCAGGCCTGCTAGAAGTTAGGGCTGTAATGGGAAAACTTTAGTGGAACAACAGACTATAACCACCCAAATAGCCTCTTCCTGTCCAGCCAGCACCCCTCAGCCTGACAAAGACAACCACCATCAGGTCACCAGCTTCTACCTGGTGAACATTTAGATACCATTTGTATCCAAATGGGGAACTCAGAGGAAGCCTCCAGCTCTTAGCCTTTCCCACTTTCATTTGTCTTTCAGGAAGTCCTGGCAGCCACAAAGTAGTGATGGGGCCTAGGGAAAGCCCTGGATGGACCGAACTTCTGAACTTCCCCGGGCTGACTTCCCAGTGCATCTGCTTCCTACATGCTCAGCAGTAGCCAGAATCCTGGAGCAGAACGAGGTAAGTGAAAGGACGCAGAGGGGTAGCCGAGTGTCTTAGTGGTTTTGTTCTCCCCAAAGAACACTTGGTGAAGTCCATAAAATCATGTCATTATTCCCCCATTATTTTGGAATAAAACTCCTCTTTTTTTTTTTTGTTTTTGTTTTTAATAAAACTCCTCTTAAATAGCTCTGATAACATCTTCATGAGAGTAGAAGTTTCCTGTGAAAAAGATTCCTAAAAGCAACAGAAATGATGGGGCGACCATGAGGACAACAAGGAAATGAAACTATAGGAAATGCTGATCTCAGTTATAAATACTGTGTGTTGGTGGCCTGTAAGGAACTCAAAAATGTTGCCAAGATGAGAGTTTTCCTTCCAGTTTCCTGGGAAGACAGGCGCAGGACAGTGGAGGACAGACCCAGGAGGGATAGCTAGGCAGAGGCTGAGAGGAGAACACAGAACATCTCATAGGCCAGGGCCACTTCTCATTGCTCCATGGCCTTCTCTAGTTATTTCTGACAGAATGTTTGGTTAGTGATTGGCTTTTTACTATTAGTTGGTGGGTGTTTTTAAATTGTGGTGAGGGACTCCTGGGTGACTCAGTTGGTTAAGCATTTGCCTTCAGACCAGGTCATGATCTCAGGGTCCTGGGATCGAGTTCCAGGGCTCGCTGTTCAGCGAGGAGTCTGCTTCTCCATCTCCCTCTGCCTCTGTGCTTTCCCTTCCCTCTCTCTCTTGCTGTCAGATAAATAAGTGAAATCTTAAAAAAAATAAAATGTGGTGTGACTTTAGAGGCTTTTTCTTATACTCATTCATTATCAATTTCTTTTGTCCTTCAAAATCCTAAGAGTTAAGAAAAAAATTTTAGTAGTTATTTCAAGACATTTTATGACTCTCTCACAAAAGTTCTTACTCAGTCTTTGATCTCAATATATGTACCTTATATATTCTTTCTAGGGTTATTCTGAAATATTTGTTAGGGAAGCAGCAGGGCTCCATGGCATGAACCCCACCATTTACAGAATCGGTACTCATTTTCTCTGTGCCTGCTATGGAGAAGGTGCTTTACATACACCATCCTGAAGCCTCACAAAGACTGTGTAAGATGTGTATTATTTTTTTTCCTTTTAGATGTATATTATTAGATTTCCTTTTTCCCCCACTGGAGGAAAGTTTAGAGAAATATGTATGTCACCCAAAGTTACTCAACTAGTGGCAAAAAAAACCACCCGTAATACCTCACATTTATTGGACTCTATATTGTCAGGTACTATTCTAGGCACTTGGTATAAATGCTCTAATTTAATTCTCTCAAAAAACTCAGTTCTTACATCTTCTCCATTTTACAGATACAGAAACAGAGAGGTTAACTTACCTAAGTTCACAAAAAAGTGACAGAGCTGAGGCAAGACCCCCAGGCAGCCCTGCTTCAGAAGCAGGCCCCACAGACTTACTCCCTGGACACTGGATCAGAGAGATCATGGCTATGACCCAGATCGCTGGGCCTTGTGGGGCCAGTTACTATGCTGACCTGAGTCTGCAGGTGCTCTCAGGGCTGATACCACCTACTCCCTGGGACGGGACACAAAGCACGTGGGATGCCATATGGAGTTGGTCTCTGTCATGTTGATATTCCACGTGGGAAAGTGAGGAGAGGGAGTCCATCCCTTTCCTTCCTCTGTGAGAAAGTCTGTGAAGATCTATTGATGGGTAGAGCTCAACTGAGCCTGATATAGACCCCTCAGTACTTGTAGTATGGATACAATGATTCTTTACTTCTCCTAAACCATCCCTGTTTCCTTCTGAACACCTCAGGAAAAGAAGAGAAAGCAGGAAGCAGTGTTGTTGAAGAGAAGAGATGCAATGTGAGAGAGAGAGGGCGCTGGAAAAAGAAGCAGGAGTTGGAGGGGCAGAAGCAGGTGACAGATGTTGTGCCAACAGGCCTCACCTTGAGGAAGGTAGGTGACTGCCTCCTAAAGGACACCTGTGCTAACAACGCCCCTCTGCAGGGAGCCAAGTGGCTGAATTGCTGAAATGGCCCCACAATCCCCCTGAGCTCTGCCACCCATCTCTTTTCATAGCCTCCTGCCCCCTCCCCTGGGGTCTGGTGCATTCCCACTGTCCCTGGCTTGGGTCTGGACCCTTCAGCAGAAATCAGGCCTGGCCTCCACTGTCAAGTGGACTGTGGAGCAGCTGGACTTGCTGGACTCAGGGCAGCCTTCCTGGGAAATGTACAGAGATTTTTTTTCCCCAGTGTTTGTCATTGTTTTAATTAATAAGCTAATATTAAGTAAGACAGGGCATATTGCTATCTTTGGGGCCAATAATTCAAAAGTAAGATCACTTCAGCCCTAGTTCAAAATCCTATTGGGAGGCTGACAGAAGGATCTCGACCACATCAAGATTTTAAGTTTCAGGATTTTATCATTCAGGCATTTGATCGGGTCCTAGGGAATTACCTACACTCAAGCCTCACTTGCCTTGGGCCAAACACACAAATTCCACCCCCAAGTGTGGGGCTCTGGCTGGACAGCGGTCTCCATCCCTATCAGCACCAGCAAGCCTTAATGAAGCCATTGCCTTCCCTGCATGGCTGGGATCAGGCTGACCAGAATGTGGCGCGGGTACTTACGGGGAACACACTGCTGGATGGAGCCTCCCCGGAAGAGAGTGGGGGGCGTCTTCCTGCTTAGCCTCTTCAGGAGGCGGTCACGTTCATTCATCCTGTGGGTAGATCAAACACAGTGAGTCTCGGTTCACGTGAACACCTCTCAAAGGGCCTCACCCAGTGACTTTAGTTTGCAAAATAAATCAGGGGGAGAAAGGCTTCCTCATGTCAAGGAAAACGTCCAGTTTGGTGAAGAGCTCTATTATTTACGGTAGATGCTATCTTGACACCTTGAGTGCACTACTCCCTCTTCTAAGAGGCGCTCTGTTTCCAGTCTGTCCTGTACGTAACGCCTCTCCACACTGTCTTCCTCTTACTTGAAGTGCACTACAAGTGCACTTTTATACCAGGCACACCCTTGGCTTTCCAGAACACTTCTGTGAGCAGTGATCTCTTTCTATGGTCAATGTCTTAATGCCTCTGTTTCACCTGCAGCCGCCTCTTCCCAAGCCAACAGCTGTACCAGGGTGAGAGCCTTGGGTCCCCAGCAAGAGACTTTTTTCTGCACAACCTGATTGTTAATTTTGAAACAGTGAAAATCAAGGTGAGTCTTTTTGGAAAACACAAGGATTAGGAGCTCTTCTTGCCTTTCCTGAAATGATTCCCTGCAAGTTTGCTGCCCCTGTAAGAACTATGGAGCACAGCTGTTGTTTATTCCTATATAGCAAAAGGGGGGGGGGGTACTTTAAAACTGCCCAGGTAGGCCACAGGTCTTTGTTTTCTTATCATTACAATGTCACTTGTTCCAGGAGATTCCTGGAGTGTGGGAGTTTGCCAATGCCTTCTGATAAGGGCTAAAGTGTATTCCCTCCCAATTCATACGTTGAAGTCTTAACCCCCAGTTAGTTACCTAGAATGGGACTGTATTTGGAGATGGGATCTTTATATTTTAAAAAATATTTGATTAATTAATTAATTAATTAATTTGAGAGAGAGAGAGAGAGAGAAGACAAGTAGGGAGAAGAGGAAGAAGCAGGCTCCCCATCAGCAGAGAGATCAATGTGGGGCTTGATCCCAGGACCCTGGGATCATGACCTGACCTGAAGGCAGAAGCTTAACCAACTGAGCCACCCAGGCACCCCAAGAGATGAAATCTTTAATAAGGTGATTAAGTTAAATGAGGTCACTAGGGTGGGTCTTCATCTAATAGGACTGGTACCCTCTTAGGGAGAGGAGATTAGGACACAGACACCCACAGAAGGAAGACCATATGAAGACAAAGCAGGCAGCCATCTACTAGGGGAGGAGCCTCAGAAGGAACCAACACTGCCAACACCTTGATCTTAGAATGCCAGAAGAGTCAGAAAAGAAACTCCTGCTAAGCCATTCAGTCTGTGGTGCTTTGCGATGGCAGCCTTAGCAGACAAATCCACCCGTGACGGGTTGTTTGTCCGTGAAAGCACAGAAGCTGTGGTTGTCTGCTGACCTGAGCACCTCCCCCAGTACCCTGTCTTATGGGCTTTGAGCCAGAGAAGGATGGTCTCCTGACCGGAGTCCACTTCACAGCAACCTCAAGGGCCTTGAAAGAAGAACAGGGCCCAGGTATTCTCAAGAGTTTTCGAGCTAAAGTTCGCTTTGCACTTGCATTGCCAGAAGAGAGCATTTTTCTGATTATGCTGGTTGAAAGGACAACATTTAATTCATCACCAATTAGAGGTAAGCCTCAACTAGCTAAGCTTGGCAAAATGTTTGATGGATGATGAGGAAAAACACTTTTTTCTATCCGTTCACACTGGCTTTCCCTTCTCTCTCATGCCTTTTCTTCCATGTGCCGATTATTCTCACTGGGCCCTGCTGAGCAACTGCCCCAGACAGCAGGCAGAGAGGAGCAGATGAACAAGGACAAGCCCGTTAGCGTGCCCTGTGCTGACCCTCTGTGAGCTCACTGCCCCCTGACAGGCTGGTGCCCCCTGCACTGGCTACTTTTAGGACATGGGGGGAGGGTAATGAAGGGCTGTCCTCCCTGTCTGACCCAGCTCTGGCCAGGATTCCTCAATGGAAGGCACTGCCAAGGCTCTGCCCAGGGCATGAAGGGGGGGCTCCTGAGGGCTGAGCCGCAGCTCTGGAGGGCACACTTCCCAGCCAGGTTGTGGTAAGGGAAAGGAATTCCCTCCCCAGGAACCTAGTGCACAGATGCAGCCTAGGCTCTGCTCTCATACCCCTCCTCTGCCCTGGCCATCCTCATCCCTCCATGCTTAGGTCCAGAAGCTCTACCTTGCTGTGGGGCGAATGAGAACTTCACAGGACCACACAAGTGGGAAATCACACATCTTGGTCCCTCAGTGGGCAGGTGAGGAAACAGAGACTGAGCTGTACCAAATACAAAGGTCACAGGATGCTTTGCTGGTTGTGTTCTTGCCCCTGCCTCTGTGCTAGGCAGATGTCCCTAATTCCCATGTGAAATACTATATGCTTTTCTCTCTTTTTTATAATGAAACACTCCAAACACAGAAACTAATACAGCAAAGGTCCACCAACCTGCTCAGCTTTAGCAAATGGTAGTTCCACTGCTTGACCCCTTGTTTTAAAGGGACCCACTCTTTCCTCCAGCCCTTCCTTCCATGTGGCAAAGGGTCCATAGGGTCAAGGAGACATGTTCACCAAGCCCATGCCTGTCACCTGGCCCCGGTATTTGGGACATCAGAAGTCTCTGTGGAGTGATACCTCTCCAAGTTAGTTATCTAAGGCCAACCTGACCTCCTCACTAGCTCTATCCTCATAAGAGCAGATCCTATAGCCAGTGTACACACTCCTCAGCTTGTGGGTGGCCAATGAGTGTTTTTTTTGCATGGGGTGTGTATGGATGGAGATGTCCAAACAAATGTGCGCAAACCCCTCTCAGTGCAGCACAGAGCTGGGGTTGGAAGAGAGGGTGGGGGGAACAGCACAGCTAACTATTCTCCATGCCACCACTTTCTGGCTCCAATCCCAAAGGATCTGGGAATCACAAAGCACCACCCTCTTTATGAAGGTATATTGATCAAGGTATATGGCTATTTGTTAGCTTGACTTGTAACTTTCACACACTCAGACACAGACGTGGTACTTGGTCTCTATTTGCACTCTTGCACCAAGTCCTGTCCTGGTTGTGGGAACTACTTCACATTTTTTTCTAAGTGTATTTATTTTGTTAGTAATCTCTACACCCAATGTGTAGCTTGAACTCATGACCTTGAGATCAAGAGTTACAGACTCCTCCGACCGAGCCAGCCAGGCACCCCTACTTCAAATTTTAACAAAAATAAAATATCAAATATGAAGTCCCTTATATTCCTCCCAGATCCCATTCTTTTCCCTTCTATTATAATATGATTAGAAATAATCTTCTGTGTTTCATACTTTTATTTTACATATATATGCTACACAACTAATATATTCTAAAATACGTCTAACTGGTGTCATTTATTTTATGCTTCTCGTGTATCATTTTTCTTCGTGCCTTCTTTTTTCCTATCTTATATTCTTTTTAATTATCTCCTCATTTACAGAACTAGTTCTTTGCAGGTAATCTTTTTCCTTCTAGATAATTTTCTAATTACTCTGTCTTTGGTGTTTTGCAGTTTCATTACAACATTTAGTGTGACTAGGTATAGATTTGTATATATATTTATATATTTATATATTTATATATTTGTATATAGATTTATATCCTGCTCAGCTGCTCAGACCTGGAAAGCCACTATAACTCAAAAGTTATCTTCATTAATGCAAAACACTCCCAATACTGACTGTGCCCCATTCTCTGTTTTTTCTTATGCAGGAGCTTCTTACATATAGAATTCTATCTTCCACATCACTGTATCTCCTCTACATTATCCATTTCCTTTCTTTCTTTAACTTTATTGAAACTATTATTCAGCTGACTGGCATGCTTTAATTTAGATTAATACCCTTTTCATGTTTATTTTCCAGACCCATCTGTTCTTACATACGGTCTTACTCTTGCTTTTTGATTTCTGTATCTTCTTTCTTCAGTATTTTATAGATTCTTTCAGACATTCCTTGCATCTCCAATGCTTTGGTGGAGAGGGGAAGCTAATAAATGTCTGCAGTATTCCATGACTCTCCTTCACTGTAGTTCATTTACTATATGTGTTCTAGTTATGAAATCATTCTTCAGAATGATTTTCTTTTGCCTCTGCCAGGATCCTATGGGTTACATCAATTTTTATATTAGCTTAGTTCCTATAGCATTGGGAATAGTCTAAAACTGGACCTCATACATAAGCATAGGCTTCCAGTTTCTAGTGGATAAATCTTTCCTCCACATTGCTGCATTGTCAATCTAATAGGTTAATTGTTCCTAGTCTCTATTTCATTAAAATAACAGCCCTGTCAAATTTGCAGCTTTATGCATAGAGCTTTTTTCCATCTCACACGGGACTGAGGTTTTATCTCCTATCTCTACATTAATCTGAACCATCAGTCCCTGAGCCTTTTATACAGTCTGATACCTCTTCTTTGGCTTCATCTTCCTCTTAGCCTACTGGCTCTTATGTCTCTTCATTTTTGATACCTGGGTTTCTATGTGTTTCTTTTGAACTTGATTACGTATTAAAATCCTTTCTTGGGATCCCTGGGTGGTGCAGCGGTTTGGCGCCTGCCTTTGGCCCAGGGCGCAATCCTGGAGACCCGGGATCGAATCCCACATCGGGCTCCCGGTGCATGGAGCCTGCTTCTCCCTCTGCCTGTGTCTCTGCCAATCTCTCTCTCTCTCTGTGTGACTATCATAAATAAATAAATAAATAATAAATAAATAAATAAAACCCTTTCTTTGCTCATATTTCACTGAGAATTTCTATGCATCTGGAAAAGTCTTGAGTCAGCTCAGTCTACCATATTGACTTTATTTTTTTAAATTCTTTTTTTTTTTTTTTTTACAATTTCATTTATTCATTTATGAGAGACAGAGAGAGAGAGAGAGGCAGAGACACAGGCAGAGGGAGAAGCAGGCAGGGAGCCCGATGCGGGACTCGATCCCAGGTCTCCAGGATCAGGCCCTGGGCTGAAGGCAGGCGCTAAACCATTGAGCCACCCCGGCTGCCCTACCATATTG